GGGAGGGTTGGGGGGCAGGAGGGAGGGGGGTAAGAGATCAACCGAAGGACTTGTATGCATGCATATAAGCATAACCAATGGACATAAGACACTGGGGGGTAGGGGAGGCCAGGGGATTGTCAAGGGCGGGGGAAAAAAGAACACATATGTAATACCCTTTGTAATACTTTAAGCAATAAAAAAATTAAAAAAAAAAAAAGAAAAGCGGCTGGTGTCCTTCTCGCCAACTCCACCGTGTTCATCAAAGAATTCCGATACCTCTCCCACGCCTACCCAGGATAATTCATCTCCACCTCTCCCGCTCTGCCCCCTCCCCTTACAACTGCCATAGAAACCAGCCTTTCCCATCTGATACTCACACTCAGGCCACCCAAAAACTGCCTTCCTCAACAGCCGCTTCCATTTCTGCATCCATTCTAGCCCTGAGGGAGGCAGCAGGAACTGAGGGCATAGTCTGAATCTATGCCCCCACTCTCTACATCCAGCCTCACAGATTGAGAGGCATCTCAGGTTTTTTTCCACCAAACTGACCTATAAGGTCCTTAATAGCCCTCAGACCCTGGTCCGAGATCCAGTGAACATGGCCTTTAAGGTTAATGCCTGTGAGGAGCAGGCAGAAACAAATTGGGAGGCCCGCCTTCAACAGAAGGTAGACCTGCAAACTCACACCTTGGTCATGCCCCTGTGGTCAACAGCAGCTGCCATGGCCCCAAGGGGGCTGTGCGCGATGGGGGTGCAACAAGAGGACGAACACCACCCAGAGAATGCTGCAAATGCGGAAATGAAGGCCACTGGGCAAAGCAGTGCCCCCAGCCCCAAGCTCCAACCAAGCCCTGCCTGGCGTGAGGCCAAAGCGGCCACTGGAAGAGTGACTGCCCCTGGAAAGGTGGCGGGCCCTCTGCGCCCCAGTGTGGAGGGGCCACCCTTCCAGGTCATGACCCGCCTCTGGCCATGCTGGGACTGGCTGAAGACTGAAGATGCCCAGCCTCAACGGCCCCCACCACCCTCACCGATCCCAGGGCTGCACTGAAGGCAACGGGTCTCCTTCCTGGTCAACACGGGGGCTACTTTCTCTGTCCTGCCCTCCTTGTCAGGGCCCCTCTTTCCTTCCACGATCTCGGTCATGGGTATTGATGGCAAATCCACCTGCCCACTGGCCACCAGACCCCTTCCCTGCCTCTTTGATGATAGCCCTATAACCCACTAGTTCTTAGTCATGATTTCATGCCCCGTGCCCCTTTTAGGATAAGATATTCTCACCAAATTAGCAGCCACTCTTCAGCTCACTCGGAGCCCTTCAGCCTCCCTTCTCCTTCTGCTCTTGGCCCCCCTCCCTTCACAGGGACACTGATCCTCCACTGCCATGCATCCCCTTATGGGGCCTTGTTGTCCCAGACCACAGTTACCTACATCAGTCTTGCTGTAAACGCCTTATCTCCTTATCTCTTCCATGACTGTCTCCTCCTCTGACCAAGAAATGTTCTCTTTCTTCAAGCTCACTGGGTACTCTTGTCTCCGGGCTCACAACTGTAGTCTTCTTGCAAACCTCCTCTATGACATGACATGGTGAAGGAACCCCCACACTGAGCCCATAGATCCCAAGGCCAATATCCTCATCCCTTTAGTGCTCTGAAAATTGCTATGACCTCGGCACCTCCTCGCCCCATCCCCCTCCACCCTTCCCAAAGGAAACTTCCTTGAATGCACAGGTTTA